TAAAATATCCGTATGTAACATTTCATTAATTGGCAAAGCAAACGAGTATGTGGTATCGGTGAAAAGCTTCCTGAATCATTGGTTTATCCCGGCTGATTTTTCAGCGGGCCGAATTGGAATTTCCTCCAGAATTGATGGTCCTATCTTTTTTATTCGTGGACGAGCTCTCTCGTTCCGAACGTAGATTTGCATATCGTTTCAGGAGTGTTTGTGCTTTAAAAGTATCAACAAAAGAAATAAAATAAAAATAAAACTGTGTTCATCTGCATGTGTAAATGAAGTTTCTTGACTTATAAAATACCGCCTAGGAGCTTACCGTGAAGGTCATCAATATTTCTGATTGCAACTTTTCTAATGCAGTGAACAGCAGTCAGATTGATCATCCACCATGGACTCTCCTGTACATCTAAATAAAAAAAAAAATAAGAATCAGCAACAAAGCTGTTCAAACGCAAAGTCAACATGCACTGCACATTTTTGGCTGAAGAATAACTTTTCGAATGAATATTTTGTTTATAAAAGTAATGGCAAAGGTATAAATGTTGGATAAAAAGCAGTGTCTAACATTCTTTTCAGTGTGTTTTTATCAGGCATGGTAAATAAGTGTTAATTTGGCATGCAAAAATATCTGAACAAAACTTCAGTTCTAACATTTAATGTGAGGTAAATAATAACAACTTTACTTGTTTGGCTACAGTGTGGGTTGACATACTGAAGGTGTCCATCCACAGCTCTGGAAGCAAGCCTCATGTCACCGCTGTCAGTAAAGGTTGAACTCTGACTGCTTGGGCGACCAGTTAAAAACAAACCTTCAAGCGTCGTTGCATGGAAAAAAGTGCAAATAACAGTTACACATTCAGGAAGGAACGAGAGTGCTCCGAGAACAATTTATTAAGTAACAAATAACAAATATTAAGTACTTGGGCTACCGATGGTAATATAAGGTTTCCACGAACCTAACTAACAATGTACCGAACTGGTTTATGTTTCCCTTTTCACCAAAACAGATGTCGTTAGCCAATATTTTCTAGTTGAGATGCCTATGGAGGGCATTACCAGGTTGGACACCCCAAAGCCCAAATGCATATCCCCGTCAAGTGATCGCAGACCAAATGTCGGCGATCACCTTTATACACAGTTCACAATGCACGTACTGACAGGTAACGCCAAACTATTGCCCAAAACTGAGTTAAGCAATGCTGCCCCCATGTTCGCTTCTGGAAATTAAAGACAGAAAGACACTGGTTAGAAGAGGCATGTAGAAACAGAACGCTTTTCTGAAGGTCCTCATGTGATCACTTATAAATTGCAGAAAACTATCACCCTCTGTTTGCAACATATACGGCTACTATCTCTGTCCATGCCTTTTCCTGTGGCCTGCTTCATTGTGGCCGTGTTGACCTCTTCCACCATGACCTCTGTCAACTGGACCATAGTCTGAGGGTCGCTTCCATGGATATCCACGCTAACGTATTGCGCAATGACGTACGGCTCCGGAGTGAAATCTATCACCGCTCTGCTAAGAGTTTGACTGGCTGCAACTCGTCCTATCTCCGGGTTGAGCAGGTGGTTGGAGTTCAGACCAGCACGAACTACATTGCCTCCTAATCGATGGGCTACAAAAATACACCGACAATTGATCATAAATAATACAAAACACTAAAAGCAGACAATTTAAGACGGCGGCCGTATGATTCAGGGGAGTCCAAAAAAGCAAGTTATTTCAGTTACAAAAGGATTCTCAGGAATGATGCCTGATTTACCCAGCTTTCATAGCCATTGCTGGTTATTTACGCTCTCTTGGGTGATTTCTAACGTTATTTTTTAATTTCAAGTTTAGTGTATAAATAAAGAACTGGAGCATGTTTTTACATCACCGTTGAGAATAAAGCATTATAAGATCAGTTGTTTTTCATTTGGTCAGAGTGAAAGACGCCAAAAGGAAACGATATTTGTACCAGATGCGTAGCTAAATGACACATGATATATGTATCTGTCGGCAAGATCCTAGCACCACTCTGTATCGTTTAAATTAGTCGTTACACAACGAGGATATTTGGAATTAATCGTCTGGAATTAAATGTGCTACTTCCGAACTTTATGATGTGCAACTGTGGAGGATAATGTTGGTCGGACTAGTCCAGCAATATCAAGCAAACCTTAGGTATACCACAGAGGAAGGACACAGGAGTAACGACTCTGGCACGTCTGAGTGCTTGAAGATCATCGTCAACCGGTCAGATGAACAATAGTAAACATTTCAAAATACCTGATTACCACCTGCAGCTTAGCCTGACATGTGGGGCCAGTAATATCTCAGCAACATCTGTGGTGCTTTCTTTGCAATTAACAACAATTTATCGCCGTAAATAGGGTAAAAATCTAACGTAAGATTTACTTTTGCTGTTGTGAATTATCTTTTTTTAAGATTTTGATTCATTTTTCCATTATGCCTGCAAGATTTTTAATTTTATTCTATCACTCCAAAGCATCAAGTTTCAAATCTTTGTACGATTTTGGGTGAGACTGGCCGACAACATGTTGATCACCACAGGACTGTTAAGTTCACTGAAAACAAAATGCTCTGTTTCATCACAAGGAACAATAATGCATGTGATCTCACAAAATACCTACGTGCACTACACTTTGTCTCTTAAAAACAGGGGTGGGGAAGACATTGTTAACTGGATCAGTCTTGTTCCAGCAATGACAGAATTCTGCTGACACGTTCGTCTCTAAAACAAATTAAATAGGACAGTTTTTTTTCAAAGGGACTAGAGCTGTTAACTCTAGGCCTTTACTCTCCAGTTGTGGAGGCCCTGTACCCATCACGTCGCTGGCATAGGTAAAGGGAAGGTTCGCCACTATGAGGTACAAACACTACATATCCGTTTATGTCTC